AGGAATAAGTTATGCTTGCTCAAGCAATTCCATGGAGCTTTTGAGTTCAAGGGAACATGGCTTCCCCTCCCTTTCATCATTCAAAAGTAGGTTTGAGGATCCTGTCTTTTTTCTTCTTTCTGGTTTCAGTCATCATTGTCAGTAGCTGATATAAGAGAATGCCCTTAAATTAACCTTCTCCAAAAGAACTTTTGTGAAAGTCTGTCATTTGGGCATACTGAAATCTCTGCTTTAGTTAGCCTCTTCCACATCTTAATGTGCATTTCAGCATATAAATTGATGAATTCTAGCAGGATCTGTAGTAATTTATATTGCTTTGTACCTGACAACATAGAGATCCCTGGTGTTCCTCAAGTTAGATTTTGACTTTTTTGTCTTTATATATAATGACTAGATTTGTGTCATTCCCTCATTCAAAAATTAATTAAAATAAATCTCTCCTTTTTCTGAGGAGTGCTATATCCCATTGGTGTGGCTTGTACCCTCTGGTGTGGCATATGGGAGCCATGCTAATGTGCTGTGGAGCCCCCAGCACAGATTCACTCAATTTGCAGGAGCTGCTTACACTTTTCAGCTGACAACGCTGTAGAAACCACCATGGGAATACAACAGAAAGTACATTAGCCTTTACTATTTGAATAAATCCATCACCGTTACGTGTTGGTCTTGGGTTGTTGTATTATCCCCCTTAGTGTCTTACTCCTATTCCTGCTACCTTCTAACAATAGAACACGTGTTGTTCATTAGTAGCATGGGTGATATGGGAAACAAGAATGTTGAAGTTGTATTGAATACGTTCCAGATGTTAGTATCAAACATGGTTGGGTCTGCACTGATTTCCTTCAAAATATTCTTGTTTTTTGGAAGTGAAAAATAATTCAATATTGAACGATTCTCTAGAAATCTGAATTCACTAAACATTTGCCATTGTAAACCACATACCTAATAAATGGTTCACCTGCTTTCCATCTTCTGAAGGCATTAAGCAACTAAAATTTGATTGTGGTAGGAGCCAAGATTTGCTAACAAGATTAAGTGGTTGCATGCTCCAAAGTTAAACAAAAGCCCAAGGATGGCTGTGCGTGCGCACTTACATTCTCAGCAGAGAAGGTGCTAAAGGCGTATGACCACACTAGAATGGATAAACTGGAAGATACCTTTGACTCTTTAAGTGCCAGATTGATGGGGATTGTGATGCGGGGAATATCTGTACATGTTTAGAGCTGAAGAGGCAATCTTGAGGTGTTAATCGGATGAACTGACTCTAAAGTGTTGATGATAGTGAATTCGGGCAGGATGTTGGTGTCTCTGATCATGGTGAGGTTGGCAGGAACAAGGTGTGGGGCTGTAGCAGGAAGCTGGGAAAACCCAATCCAGGGGTTTGTGCTGGGCAGAACAGTGAAACAGTAAAACCCAGGCAAGATGAGGCTGTGGTTTCATGTTGACTTTCAAATATAAATAAGCAGTGTGGAGGTGATAAACAACCAGATTAGTAGTGTCACAGAGAGGGCTTTCTGGTTTTTTCAGAGTGGTAAATATACGTTTTGTAGGATTTAAACTACATAGGTGAAGTAACTGGCTCTCTAGTCAGAGAAAGGTGGCAGGAAGGAAGGAAGATGAGGAGGGGTCTGTGAAGGAGCCAAAAGCTGCTAATTTGGATGGAGGAGAGCTCTTACTGCTCTCACTGGAGTGACAGTGTCTTGTAGCAGCATCTGCCTTTCTTTGACTGGGACAGATCTGCAGCTATGGTAGGAAGGGCAGGAAAGAAACGTGGCGAGTGAATTTTGAGCAAAAACCTCCAACCTTGCTGGGGTGTAGGCAGTGTAAGAATAGACTAAAATACAGCATAAATTGAGAGATGATGGCAGAAGGAGAGATCTTGTGCCATGTACAGGCTGAGCATTCAGTGGACTTCATGATCCAGAAGTAATTTTTCCTTTCACTTGGCACTACCTCCAGGCATGCCAGTGTATGTTGGGCATGGCACTACACCCTGGTTAGTGGTTGGGCAAATATGCGAATATCAGTGCATGAGAACTGTGGTTTGCTGCTGCCAGCATGTTTAAGAGAAATAGTGTTTGTGGGAGTCTTGAGTTCCTAGAAAGGGAAGAATGGGCCCAGGACAAAGCTACACAGGCAGCTATGTGAAACTTGGCAAAAATGTGACAGCTGGAGAAACCTCTCTGCTATTTACCCTACCAACATGCCTTGTAACACGGGCATTATCCCAGCTCTGTGGTTTGACTGTAGTGGAGCAGCCTCCAGGAGATACTCTGATCTTTGGGTCAGATTTCAAGGGCCGCATATTGGTCACTTAGGAGGCTGGTCTGAAAGCAGCTCTGTCAAATGCAGTAGCTGCCCCAAAACGTTGGTTTCTTACACTGAGCACTTTAGAGCAGCTCTGTGCACCCCTTCCCTCAAAATAGAGCTGCTGGAGGTGGCGTGGCCCAGGCCAGCAGGGCGTGTGGCCAGACACTGTGCAGCCGCACTGGTGTGGGAGCGGGCCTACACCAGTAACCCTGCTCAGGACTGGGACAGCACATGGGCTCACTGCCAGCACAGTGATGGGCTTTGTGCTGGAGATCTGGCCCTGTCCAGCCAGGGTGGAGTGCAGGCAGAGCAGGCATGCCTTGGTCTGCCCGTCACTCTGCAGATAAGCCTGGCTGCGCATGGTTATCCAGGATGTGAACTTCTGCTCCCTCTGGGAATGTTTCCTTCTTGCATGTTGAGCAGAAGAGAAGATTTTGGAAATGGGATTTAACATACGTTTGAGAGGGAGGCAGAGCCTGAATGTACCAGTCACCATCATCTTCAAGTGGATGAGTCCTTGTAGGAAGTGAGGGGAATATCCAGATGTCTTCTCCTCTAATTTGTTACTGCATGGAAATAGGTGTTCACAAGGAAATCACGAAGGAGGTATTAGCTCTTTCTCCTGAACTTTTGTTAAGGAAAGCTCATGTTTTTGTCAGTAACTCCATTTCTGATTTTGTTCAGTCTTACACCTTGTTCGTTGTTTGTGTTGTGTGTTATGATTGAAGCATCTTAAACATGAACTCCATTCTGGTCTGCAAGAAACAATTCAATAAACAAGTTGCTTGGCGCTCTGTTTGCTCCCTAGCTCAAGAAATCCTTGTGCAGTTTAGAAAAGCTTTTTGTGCAGGTTGTGTAACATGGTCTGCTGCAGGACTTACGGACTGACACATGAGTGGCTGGGCTAGTTGGTTAGCAGGATCTCTGGTCTGGTCCTTTACATCAGGAAAATGTGGCTTCTCTACTGGTTGTGTTTTTGTTATTGTTACGATTCTAAATATTTCTTTAAACATTACACAGGGCAGCTTTTTTATGGATCTTTTTTTTTGTTGTTGTTGTAAACTGAGTATCATTACTTGGACTGGTCCCATTTTGTATGCGTATTCTTTAAAAGGAGTTAAATAAAAACCAAAAAACTTCCAAGTCCTCCAGGCTGGTGGTCAGTGCTACTGCCAAGCTCCTCATTTAGAGAGCAGAAAGTTTGTTTATGCTCTGAACCCCAAGCACAGGCATGTGTAACTTATGCCTTGAGCATTGCCTTTACAAATATTCCTGCTCTGTGGGAGCTGGTAGGACATGCACTACGCACTGGTGGGTTTCAGGAATGGCCCAAGGCACACATGGCCCGAGGCACTGCAGAAATCTCCCTGTGCTCAGGGGCTTTGCTTCTTCCAAATAGTCTGGTTTAAGATGGTCTCTTTGACTTCTAAATAAATGCCCAGCTGCAAATTGTATCTTGAAAAAACTGTGGTTTTAACCAGTAAAGTGTAGGTCAGTGCTAATATAATTAAACATTGTTGTACACCAAAGTCAGATGATCTCTAGTGCTACAATATCTGACTCTAGACTTGACAAAACCAGACAGAGCTCTACCATTTGATCAGCGGAGGATTTTCTTTAATTTTGAACTTTTACTCAAAAGAAGCATTTTACTTCAGTTGCAGATGTACACTATCTGGAAAAAAATATGCTTCTAGCTTATATTTCCTTTTAATGCCTGGCAGCCTCTGAACTGACTGGTTCATGTGAGTCTAATTCTTATCTGAGTGACTTTGGTGCAAATTAGGGGTTAAGTCAATTATGTTCTTCTGTGACCTTCTGAATCAAAAACATGCTGTATCTGTTACTGTCAGGGGTGGGTTTGAGCAGTTTTGGAGAAGCAGGGCTGTGTTTCATAAATATTTGTCTTGATTTAGTTTCCTGAGATATAGTTTAAATGTAAACTGCTCGGTACGTTTCAGCCTTTGCGCTATCTTGCTCTATCACATCACACGGTCTCACGTACTATATAAGAGTGTGGCACTACATCATGCTGTGCTGGTTATTTGAAAGGGCGTACACTCTGTTTTGGACTAGATATCTGTTATCAGTGTAGATAATTGCTGTCAGACACAAAATAGACTCAGTAAACAAACATTTCATTTTATCATGTGACAGATGCCTGCTGTTTTGTACAATGTATTTGAACGACGTTCACTATAAATCAGCTCTGCTTCAAAAGCAATAAATCCAGCTCACCAAATCCTTCCTGCTGTAATTACCTTTATAGTAGAGATTAACTTCTCATTGTTATATATACGTGAATGCATTTTTCAGTGTTTGGAGATAACAATGTCTGACACAAACAAATAATTCACATCTAAGACAAACCAGTTCCTCTGACTGTTATCACTGGTGGTGGTTTGTTTTCTCCTTGGATTCCTCTGTGGTAGCCAAAAGACTACCTTCAATTTTGGAATTCCTACTTGACATTTAGACATTCAGAGAGAAATGAACCAATGAGTTAGCACATTCAGGAGAACTTGAAAGGGCAAAAGGAATAAATGTCTTCATTTTGCAGAGAACAAACATGAAACTTCTGCTTCTGTTCCTGTGGGTTTTCTGAACAAAAGGATGATCATTATTTGACAAGTGTAAATGATGTATTGCTTTTTTCTCCAAATAATGTGTACCTATGTCTTCTTTTTCAGGTCCTGTGCCTCTCAGTGAATGTGTCTTATCGCCTGTTAACAATTCGCACCCAGTCCATGCCTTATTGGAAAGTTTTACTGTCTTATCTGGCTGTGCAAGCCGAGGCACGACGAGCCTGCCACAAGAAGTGCACATCCTCAATCTCAGAAACCCTGAGGAGGGTCTTGGCCATCATGAAAGAGAGGTAAAGGGGAAATTACTTTTTGTCCCTGGTGACAAGTATGTCTGCAAATAGCATTGTTATACATTCATTTGCTGAATAAAGTTACTTCTGAATTGTCACCAAAATACTACAAAGAAGCACTGCAATTCGCATGAATATTGTCCCTGTGCTTTACATGTTGTGCAAGTAAGCTGCTTCTCTACCCAACCACCCTCTCCATCACCTTTCACAGCCATGAAGTATACTTAAAAAAGGTGGTGGGGTGGGCAAAGGAAATAAGAAACAGATTTAATTTCCAACGGGCCTTTGCAGAATTGGCTGTCTTCAAAAGCAGATCGTTTACCTAAATGTGTTCTAAATTAGCATGAATACCTTTGGATCCCTGCCATGACCACTATATACAAATACTGAAATGCAGATTTTTTACCTCTGTAATGCAGCCTTAATGCTTCACTGAGGGGGGGCTGCTGAACAGAAAGCAAGTGTTGCTGACTATGGTAGTCCAATTACTTTTGTGTGTGTGTGTGTGTTGCACTCAAAGGGATTGGCCAGAACTATAACTGTTCTGAAAGCAATAGCACAAGAAGAAAATTTTTGATTTTAAGTTATGCTGTACTGTTGTTTACTCTCAAAACACACCAAAACAGAGTGCCAAAGTGCAAAGAGAACATTGCAGGCTATGACAGCTGAGCTTCTTAGTTCATGTTCTTACAGTGTTACACACACAAATCCTTAGTACTGTGTCCTTTGAGAGCAACATGTGCACACAATTAGGGAATTTGTAATGAGGGAGCAAAGATGCTGATTTTTGTTGAAAATGGGCAGAAGAGTACCCTTGCTGTGGGGATATGGTATTGGGAATTTATAACTTCTTAGTTACTAAAGGGTGCTCAGGGATGGGATGACGCGGGCTGCAGATGGAGCTTGTACCTCCCGAGAGACCAGAGTGAATCAACTGCCAAGTGCACATTTGCATAAAGCCAAATCTCCCTCTGGTGCCGCTGGCACTGCTGACGTAAGAGGGCAGTTTTGCAGTTGTGTGCACGCACAGCGTGAGCGAATCATGCACGAGGGTGCAGGCTGTGCCCCTACTGCCTCATCAGCTTGACAGAATGGTAGAAGATTTAAATATTTGGCTTTGAATAAAAATACTTGCTGTTGAGTAGAAAGAGGCTGCTTGTGCCTCCTCTGATGTGCTTATGGTAAGAAAGCAGTTTGCCCCTAAGCTGTCTTGTCTCTGTACTTCAGGGATACACCAAAGTGTAGGGCACAGAATATATTTTGTGATTTGTAGTCCTTAGCCTCCTTCTCCCATTTCCCAGTCAGTTCCCAGTCCCAACCCTTGGAGATGGCTACTCTAAAAACGCACAGGAAGCTGGAGCAAGGCTTGCTGGCAGCAGTGTCGAGCAGAAGAGTGTAAACAACTTGGAAAGATCAGATTTTACTTATAGGATCAGACTCTGAGAACAAAGCAGAGCAAATGTTATCTTTTCCATTATTGCAAAACCAACTCCGAGTGGCTTTCTGTCTAAAAGTAGAAAGTATCCAAGTTACATGAGCTTGATTTACCAACTGAGGTATTTCCTGTTGCCTGCAAATGCTGATAGCAAAGGTAGAGATCTGTTTGTCACACAGTATTTCCAGTATACTCCAAGAAAGAAACCAGTGCTTTTGTTTGATATTACATTAGTTAGATTTAGCAGCATCGAAAGCATGTTTAAAATAAACCCTGTATTTACTCAGAGTTGGCTGCAGTTCTGATAATGTGAAATGCAAGATCTGAAAATCTTTAAGTGAAGGCTTGCTTTGGGGGAGGAGGCTGGGTTTTGTTTTGCTTTTAACCTGCCCTGTGCTAGAATACTGCTAAATTACACATTCCTTACTTTCTGGGAGGAGTGTAAACTTCCCTTAGCAAATTCCTTGGAGGGCTCATGCATTAAACATCCTTGTGCAGTTATCCTGGTTCTCATAAATATGCAACATACATGTATGCATTAATTTAACTCACTTTGACACTTGTGTAGAATATATAGACAACAAGGGTTTGCAAATTTAAACATTGGGAGGGTGGCTCATGTGAGGGGGGTCAAGGCAGGGGGAAAATGTGGTCCTCCTGTAACACACCCAGGCTTTTCAGTAAAAGTTAGTAAGGTTTGGGTGCTTTTTCTTCCTTGTAAACTGGGGCAGGGGGGTGGAGGAAGGAAAAAAAGACAGACTGGAAATGTATAGGATTATGTATTCTGAACAGTCTTTGCAAAACTGAATCAGTAATTTAGCACTTTCATGTTAAGGTTGAAATCTGTTAAATGTAAGGTCATATCATCAAATGCTGTAATCTTATCTGTGATCTTCAAGGAATTTGTTTGTATTTTACTTCATTAATCCCTGTTGGGGTGACATCTCATATGTTAAAACTGGGAAGACACTTTCTACAAGTAAGAACTCCCGAAGTTCCAATCTCTTTCAAGTATTTCTTAGAAATGTCTTTTATCACAATTCATATTTGGCCATGCTTTATCATAGGAAATAGAATACGGGTGCATGTAATAGCCTCAAGTGTTTATATTGAACTTGGCATGAAAAATGCAAGCCTTTTCTGTTTGTTTTATTTGATCAAATATTCCTGGGGAAGTGAGTGCGTGTGTGCATTTCTGTACTGATCTGGGTCTCAGCTGAATGCCAGGAACTACTGAACTCTTACAATAACTTTCTCTCTGGCTTTGGGTATCTTCACTGCTTCAGTTTCCCAGTTTTTAGAAAGGAGACAGTTGCTTTCTCATGGAACCGCTTGTTCTGAAAAAGAATTAGTTTTTGCAGAGGCACTTGGAAACGCTAGGGATTTGCACCAGAAAAATGTGTATAGAAAGGCAAAAACATTTTAAGATGAAAGTCACTCCTTAGGTGTATTATCAAGTCCTAAGTTAATGAAGGACTCTTTTATTATGCCTTTCAGTTGAATTTCCCTGAGCTGCTTTAGGCACACAGTCCCAATTGAAATAGTTAAAGGGGGGAAGGAGGGGCATATAAAATTAATCTCATGTGAATACTTAGGATTGAATACATATGAATACATGAAATCAGAGTTCCTGGCAATGGATTCACTATTGTTTTCGTTGACATCCTCATCCTCAAGACCTTTAAGATGTTATGCCTGATACAGATGTTTAACATGTGTTATGTGAAATGAAGTTCAGGAAAATCAAGGACTTGTCTTTATTTTTTATAATTTAAAGTAATACCACTGAGGCTGTAATAATTTGACAGACCTTTTTCCCCACTATTTAATCAGTGCTACTTGGCAACAATTTATTAATAATTTTTAAAAATTTCTTTTGAGAGTAAACCTGATGTTAGTTCCTGGAACAGGTTAATTATAATTAGCCTGATACTTGCTAGTGATGTATCTGAGGTACTGAGCTGACCCACTTAAAAGTTGTAAATTGATGGGCAAAATTATTTCAACCCACTATTTAGGTACTTTCTGAAGAGATCCTCTAAGCTGAAAAAATGTGACAGGGAAGGACTCTGAAACAGTCACCTAATAATGTATTTCTACATTATGATTTACAGAGTATCCTGAATTCAGGATAATTCTTCTGTATCATGATGGGTTTGTATTTTAGAACTATGAAGATCTGGGTTATGAAAAGTGATGAAAACCTAGTTAATTTTGTCTATTATTCTAGGTATTTACTGTGTTTCCCAGTGTGTTTGTTTTAGCTGTTTTCAGAAGTTTAATACCACAACAGCCTTACCCAAGGCTGTGTCAGGGAAAAATGTTTTGTTTCATGCTCAGGCATCCAGAGATCCGGGAACAGCCTTGAGATTCAGCTCGGATAAGGGGTCTGCTTTCTGGGTGTATTTTAAACATGCTGACCTGTGGCACTAGTGCCACGGTCAGAGGGGACCTGGAGGTCTTGTGCTGACAGCAGGCAGGAAGGGAATTCAAGGTTTGTTATTCGATAGCTGGAGTTAGTGAGGGTTTTGTTACCTATTCATTTGTTTGGATAGGTACACACTGCTGCATGTGGGTATACGTAGTATTTCTGGTAGGTCAAGAGGTCTTTGCTTTGAATTGAAATATTTGCTGCTTTAGAAGAAACTTTGAGAAATAAAGGACAGTTCTTCTGCCAAGGTGCAGACCGGATCTGAACGTTGCAAGGGTATTTTGCTGTTCCTGCCTTTACACATTTTGACCCCCTTAGCTTGGCAGCAGTAGTGGATGTCTAGCTATGGCAGCAGACTCATAAGTTTCAATGCCAGTATGTAGAGGGGTTTTGAACCTTCGGCTTCTTCACTTGGCCAGCTCCACTCTTATGTGATACCATCAAGGTCGACTTGATCACTTCACCCTGTTGCTGCTTGTTCCTTGATGATCTGTGGCTCATGAAGTTGTGCAGAGGCAACATTATCAGTCCAAACAAGACCTTCAGAGTGACAGTAGAAAATGCATTTGACCACCTGCAAACCTCTGTGTCAAATTTGAGGTTGACTACTGCTTTTTATTGCAATCTTCTTGCATGGTGTTTTTGAGGGAACGGTGTTACATCAGATCGAAAACAGAAAGTCCAGATGAATTACTGCTTCCACCAGTGCTTTGTGCCAGGGAGGTCTCAGAGTCAAGTTGTGAGTGATGCTGTGGCAGACATACTCCAGGAACACCCTGTATTTGTTACTTGGAAAGCAGTAGTTCCTCATCACATGCATCTCTGATCCTGGGTATTTTCCAAAGCTTGCCTTACAGCCTGTGGTAGCTCCACTGGCTTACCAGAGTTGTTTTGCAGGCTGCTGTTACTCCCTTGCACACAACCTTACCCAAGAGCCGTTTCTGGGCTGGAGTGCTGGACTGAATCAGGAATTAAGCACGATGGACCCTAGAAAGCTTAAAAGATACTGGCAACATCCTCCACAGAAATTGTAATCATTCAGGGTCTGTCTCGGATAACACCGTGTCTGCTGAAAGCTGCAACTCCCATGCAGCTGATACACTAAAATGACACTGATGTCTTAATTGCCTTGAT